TTTCAACTAAATAGATCGGGAAACTAACGTAAAGTGTCATACAGATAGTCGACAACCAAATATTGCTCGTTAAGTATGAAAGTAAGGGTTGAAACGTCCTTTCAGTTGTTGAGTTTTTCAATCAACTTATTCTCATAACTCTAGAATAATCAAACGGTTATTACATAATGTACTGTGAATAAATATTATCGTGAACATCATCCTTTAACGGCTCAGAAAGCAAGTAACACCATTTTCTTTCAATCAATTGACTGTCACTACTGCTGATCAAACAGCTGTTCCCAGCCATAATGATTAGAAGGTCGTCGTTGGCATCTAGACTGATCATAAGAGCAGGTAGACTGCTCTTCTTGTGGTGCTTTCTCATCTGACTCCTCACATTACAGTCAGATTTGTAATACTACAGCCACTTCCTCATCATCTAAGTCAAGATCATGTGACACAGTACTCTCACCATCAAAATCAAATTACTCATACACCTCTGATTCCTACAGTAACCAGTTTTCAAAAGGTTCATCCATGGTGTACAGTTTCTGTTTGATTAAGTGCTCAAGCCTCATGCATGTGCTGCATGATTGCTGTAACTTTTAATTCACTCCTTGAACTGCTTACAGACAAGATACAGATTGGGCTACCCAGAACTGAGTTAATTCGTGCTGCAGGTACATACCACAGCCATACTCAATCAACAGACTTGATTATTCATTCCAAAAGAGTTTAGAGATACATCTTTTTTTTTACCAATCTGCTGTCGATTGAGCCCATGTACTTCAGCTATTGCAGAAAGCATCCATTTCACACATTTCTTTGAACGCTGTAGTACCTCTGTATTTGTTTGGCCAGGCATACATAAGATCCACTAGGAGCTGTACTTCTCGCCCAAACTCGGAAGATTTAGAGAACAATTAATTGACTGTTGTTCAGTTGCTTGTTATGCCATCATAAAATATGGTAGATGTTCATCCAAATCATTTTGATCAGAGTTAACAAACAGAAAGAATACACTTGACAGTCTGCAATGCCCTTTCAACCAAAGCATGAGATTGAGAATGGTAGGGTGTTATATCTTAAAGGTTAAACATTAGAGCATTACGAGTATATTTTGGTAATATTATATGTGATTCCTAAAAGAGAAATGATTGAATGTAAAAATTTAAGAATAAAGCATCACCATCAATCATTACCGTTTTGGATTACCTCAGATCCAGTCATGTTCACAATACTGCAAAGTACAAATACCTTTGTAAAATACCAACTGAATCAGCAGCACAGAAATACTCATAAATTCTCTCTCCAATCCATGAAATCATGCCCATTCATTGAATGTTAAAATCCTGGCCTGGATGTCATGTAGTGGCTAAAACTATGGATGTAGCAATGCGTCATAGCACACAAGAAATGACAATTCTGTGTTTCGATGAGCATCCCAATACATAAATTGATAGCTACTAGCCATGTAGCAAGATAGGATGCACCCATCACAAACTGTCAAATGTAGTGTGGGTGTAACCGAAATATGGTACTTGTTTAGCAAGTTACAAGTTCAGGATAGCATATTCTATATCATTGTTATGAATCACCAACAGATGGTACCAAAGCTGTAATACAACTAGTGGTACAAGGAGCTCTAAGGCAGGACATTTCCAGACTTTGTATAATACAAAAGCTGGAAGGCACCAGGGAGTGTTGCAGACTATAACTAATGTGCTGAGGCAATTTTTCTGGTTCACATGCTCGTAAAAATGATGAACTATAATGTAGACATTGTATTTAGTACGCTTTCTACAGGAAAAATTAATTATGTCAATGAAAACTCAAACAGAGAGAGAGAGAAAATTTTAGTGTATAACAGCTAGTTCTCTGCCCAAAATTGGGAATAGTAATCGATATTTATTGGTTACTTCATCAAGTGAATTGAAGTTAATCATTGGCTTACATGTGAACACAATCTATCACAGATGTATTGGCTGAACAATGGATTTCAGACATTACTTCACCTGGAGACATCCACATGGATTAAGAAGCTAGCCTTGATAGTCAGTTGTTTGCAGAGTTATGTTGTCAAGTGCTGAGAATGGTGAAGACTTCACTGCTCGCTTGACTTAATTACCTCAATCTATCTCCAGTTATATATGAAAAAAGAGGGCGTCTTGCAAACGCTGGGGCATTCGTAAGGTTGCCCGCTAAGTCACGATCCTTCTAAAAACTCCAGCGCGCATGCTCCCAGCGTTGCGTGACTTCCACTGTCGTAACAGTATCAAGGTTTGCCCCTGTAAAAGTAACAGCTATTTTTAGCTTTTGAATTTAATTTTGTTGATTTTTCCTTGTTTTAACTTTTACTTTAAGAAGTGTGTGGTTTACTTTAAACTTCAAAGATTTAAGTACTTGGACTTAAACAATAGTTTGACTATGAAGATAACATTTGAACTGTGATTTTGATTTAAACTAATATTTTATCGTACTTATGTTGAGAATAGTAAGACTAGGGGAAGTAGACATAAACTCTCAGGGTAGAAGCCATGTTCAGCTAAGACAGCTTTGTTTTTCTAGAAGAGTGGTTGGTCTTTGGAATAGGTTGCCTTCAGATGTTGTTTTGAATTTTGAACAAAGCTACACTAGCCATCCCTAATTTTGCAGCGAAAGACTAGAGGGAAGGCAACTAGTCACTAATCGTCAACATCCACCATCAACTCTTGAGCTACTCTTTTACCAACGAATAGTGGCATTGACTGTCACATTAGAATGCTCCCATGGCTGAAAGAGTGAACATGTTTGGTGGGACAGGGATTTGAACCCGCAGATTGCGAATCAAGTGCCCTATCCACCTAGCCATACCAGGCCATAAGATGTGGTGGATGCAGTTAATTTAAGGGAGTTTAAGGGAAGGCTTTATAAGTACTTGAATTGTAAGGGCAGGTTGTAAGTGTTTTATTTTTATTTTAGAGTTTAGTAATGTGGGTGCATATGATCTGTATCATGTTTTGTAGGTGTCTGTGACTTGTTCGTGATAAATTTCAACAATATATAGACAACACACAATCCATTTGTTTTAAAATAATATATTGTTACGTCTCCATTCGTTAGTTAATTTTCCGTAAAAATTCTTACCGAAGAAACTTTACCGATACAAGTCCTTTCTTAAATAAAACTGGTTTATTCTTTCCGAATACAACTTTGTGATACACTTAATTTCAACAGTCGCTCTATAACAAACGCTATAATTCACAACGAACGTCTCACGTGCTCAACAATAATCTGTCAGCATACATTCAATTACTCCTTACCTCACGTTCAGTTCTTACCGGTTTATATATACAAGACTACGACTTATCTAGTAGGTTCTCGACAATTAAGGAAGGGACGTGAACGTTCGAGAAGGACGTGGCGTGATACTAGTCACGTGACCTCCGATGTCGCAACAATATATTCAAACAAGTCAAACGTATGTACAAAAATTCGTTACACTATTGTTTGCCACAGTTGAATCTAGAGCTTTAATAAATAATTCTCTTTTAATCAAAAGTCTACACCAGCTAGTTCAATTACTTTAGAACCCAAATGACAAGACGAATTATGTCTTCTCTCTTCTTCTATCACAATACAATCAGTGATAAACTCAGTTATGTTACCCTATGGGTTACTGCAGTTGTATCTAGAGCTTTAAATAATTCTCTTATACATCAATAGTCCACAAAGTCTGGTTCGATTACTTTAGAACCTAAATGACATGACAAATTATTCTTCTCTATCTCAGCTTTTATAATACAAACAGTACAACTTTCACTTTACAAATTGGCCGCTTCGGCTAAATCGGCATTCATGCAGTTTAACTTCACTTTCACTAACTTAACTTTTCTTTTGTTTGTTTTGAATTTCGTGCAAAGCTAACGAGGACTATCTGTGCTAGCAGTCCCTAATTTAGCAGTGAAAGACTAGAGGGAAGGCAGCTAGTCATCACCACCTACCGCCACTTTTGGGCTACATTTTTACCAACAAAGAGTGAGATTGACTGTCTCATTATATCGCCCCCACGGCTGAAATAACGAGCATGTTTGGTGGAACAGAGATTCGAACCCGCGACCCTCAGATTGCGAGACAAGCGTCCTAACTACGTGGCCGTAATGAAGAAACAGGTCCCTTTTTTCATCCTTAAAATTATATATATATATAGGTGTGTGTGTGCATTGCAGTGGTGTAAGAAGAAGTTATGGAGGTGCTTGGCTAGACATGCAAATTTTACAATGAGAGATTGAAAGTATAAAGAGCTGCTAAAAAACAGTTCCCGTGCTGCCAGAGGTAGCTCAACCTAGGAGGTCTTGGAGCATGCCCCCCCCCCCAGCAAATTAATATAATAATATAATTCAAAGTTGTTATATAAGTCGAATATTCCGACTCCTCTGTACTGTATATATTCCTCCAAGTCTCCCGTCATAACATTTAATATAAACTTCTTAAATTCGTAATGCTTTTCTTTCATTTTATACGCTATTCTCTTAGTGAGTCGTTTCGGCACTAATGAACAGTAGCTGTGTTTTTTTAGTTTAAGGCTGAGAACTCGTTTACAGAAGTGTTTTTGAGAACGATTGGGAAAACGGACTATATCCTTACAGCATACATCTTAAAACAACATATATAGTACGCCATCATATTGACCAAATTGTCAATAGGCCTCTTATTGCTATAAGTAATTATATAGACATTCAACTGTACCTCGTGTTATCGAAAATAATGTTGTTTCTAGTTATTTATGTATTGTGCATCCTGCACATCTTGACTTTAGGCAAAAATGTACTACTGCAGGGCAACTAGATGTTTACCTTCGTGCTATTTTAAACTTGGTTATGACCACCGAAACCCCGAAGGAGTTGTGGAAAGAACCATATGACCAAAGAGCGAAAACGATCATAACCAAACTGGTTCGAGAGCAAAATACTTCATGAAAAAAAAAGAAAAAAAAAAGCTATGTTTATAACGAATTCTTGCATTTACCTAGAGGGGGTGAGCACGATTAGCTAGTATAAGCTTAGAAAAGTTCACGGTGAGTGAATCGCTAGTTTGAGGCCTCTCAGTTTCAGGAAAAACAGACGAACTTGAAGATTGTAATTTTGCTTACAGAATTTCCGTTGTTTAAACTATCCAGTTAATTGAAAAATGTCGTCGTAAGTATATATGTATTTATAATACTTGTTTGATGTTTATGTGGGCACACTGCTTGCATGTTTAACCTAAGGCTACATAGAACTAGTAGAGGTTGGAACTTAAAATCGGATCAAAAAACGAAAAAGTACCATAATAAAGTTATATAAAATAGAGTTTTCTGCTTGACAGTTTAATAAATAATGTTATGAAATATAATGATATAAAACACAGATTCTAGGGCGTGATTACAGTGATGTGTCATCAAATTATTTTAATTTTATTATTAATATTATTTGGCTAGAACTTAGAAGCTTTCGACAGTACTGGCTGACAGAATTAGTTATAATTATATTTTTTTATAATAATAATAATAAAGAGCGTATCGCAGAAAGATCTAACATTTATAAGAATAGTAGTTTTAGTACATTAAATTGCTAAATATTGTTTTAATTTTCAGACACTAAAATAGAATGTCCCAAAACTTCTTTAATTTATTTGGCTTTCTAACTGACTTACAGGCAGGTTAAATATCCTGTCACATCTTTAGTCTAAACACATCTAGCTCTCCTCATGAACTATTGGTTTTGTTTGCTAAAACAAAAGATGTTAATCTGATTTATGTAGTTTAGAGTATGTTCCATCTATTGGTTATAAACATGTCCAATAAAAATGTCAGAGAGAATTACAGACATTTCTTAAAAGGCAGAAAATATGGGAGGGGTTTGTCATGTAAATTGAAAAAAGATAGTGACATCTCAATAAAGTAAAAAGAAGTTTAAATTCTATATTCTGGCCTTTCAGTATATATAATATGCATTTCTACATATTATTGCCACCACACCTTGTGACTTGAGGTACAGATTAAGAATTTATTTAAATATTTCCTTTTGAAATTATAAATTAAAACTTGAATAATATTAATATTTGAATTATAAACTATGTTTTGATGCTAAATTTATTAACATACATTGATATTAAAGTAGTTAAGTTTTGGATGTAACTGAACGTGACCTACACTTAGCCTTACATCATTGGTGGGTAAAGTTTGTGAAAATCTGATAAGATGTTTAACAAAGTCTTATGTTGGATAGTAACCAAATGAAAAATGTTGCTTTAATCTTTTGATGCTCTTTGAAGAGGTTACTACTTATGTTGATGAATATAAATGTGTGGATCTGGTGTATTTGGTTTTTCAAAAGTGATTTGATAGTGTGATGTACAAAAGGCTTGTTAAAAAATTATTTATATGGTTGTGGAAGATTGGTCTCCTTGAATCAAAAAGATTGCTGGAAGAAAAAAAGCCAAGGATTGTTATAAATAGAGATTGGTTGAACTGGATTAACATCAGGGCTCAGTGTTTGGATCTTTGCTTTTTTTATTTGCATCAATGACATAGAAAGAAGGAATGGTCAATAAGCTGTTTAAATTTGCTGATGATATCAATGCCTTGGTCTTATTTGTTGCTGGCGGAGAGGGGGATACTGCTGAATTGAGAAAGGGCTTAGATTATTTGGTGTATTGGGCATTTAGGTGACAGATGGCTTTTAATTATATTGAACTAGGAGGAAACTCGTACTTTTCATACAGAATGTTTTTTCTGGTTGTGGTATTTTGTATTTGAATGCATAAAGTTTATAAAATGTAAAGGCAGTGTTGTGTATTTGAAGTAACTAACACAGTTAAGTGACCTTCCTAGGCTAGCCATGTAAGAGATTAGGTTCTTATAATTCTGAATGAATCTTACAGGTGTGTAGAACATCTCATTGGCTTTGAGGTTAAATCTAAGTGGGTTATACCTATTCCACAACATATGATACCCACCAAACACCTCTGGTACAAAAGACGTTTGGAGATGAATGGTGTGATAAAAAATACAAACTTATCAATTTATCTTAGACATCAGATCAAGTGATGCTTTCAAAACCTGGGTATCAGAGACACGTATTAAAACTTAACAGAATTATTGTGTTGGTGCTGTGAGTGTCTAAACAAATGAAGAAATTTGCACACAAAACTTTAACACATAAACACTGCTGTTTGAAATGGAAATATGAGGCATGACAGATCCATTCCCCAAGTACCTTTCCCTGTATAGTACTATATACAACCATTCCTCTCTTACATGTAGTGATGTTTGTACTTCCCTACTTCTAAGTTAATTTTTGCAGAGTGTAATGAAGTTTAAAAAGCTTCTCATGTATGCACACACATCACTCTTCTAATTATATAGATGCAAGGTAATGTATGTTGGTTATAATAAATTAAACTATAATTCAAGTTGATAGAAATAACCTTAACAGTGTTATAGAAGACAGAGTTTATGGTGTTTTGGTTGATCAATGTCTTAAGCATTCAAGCAGTGTGCTGTTGCTAGTATTAGTATTATTGAATATAATTAGTGATATTTCCTTCATTTTTCAATAAGTTGAAATGAAAACATTACAAATAAGTTGTGTTTGTTTGGAATTGTTTCTATGTCTATATATTTTATTGTCCAGGATACATTTGTAGCAAAGAAGCACAAAATTTAATGACTTAAATTTTGTGCATGGAAATCTTTTAACATCACCTGCTTTTATTTTTTCTGGTGCAATTTTCAAGCAATAAGCTTGTTTTAGTTTATTATCAGATTAAATAAATTCCAAGAATTGTTTCAGGTCTTTAATTATCTAACAAAAGCTCACCTTGGTTGGGTTTGGTGACCCATGAAAAATACAAAAATGACATATCCCTAAAAAAAATAATATTATAGGTGGTTATAATTAATTATGGAAAATTATAATTGAATGCTTGGTAATTTGTCTCTGATTTGTTATGATATCATCAATTTTGAATTGTGAAGGGATGTCCAACAAATATTGATGGATGATTGGATAACGAATGTTCACACTAGTTGCCTTTCCAGCTAAATAATGGAAGATATCATAATTAACCCACACTTTTCCTTATAATTTTGATTGGTCAAAAATTGGAATTCTTATTTATAAAAAGTATATCTTGCATTGGATGTTAAACTACTAATAATATGGTCAGCTACTATGTTAATCAAAAAAAAACCTTTGGCTCCTATTGAAATGGAACCACTAAATCCTGCTTTTTGGTAGGTGACAATGCAGAAAAATGTGTGTGTGTGTGTGTTTACAATACTGAACTAACATTAACTTACAAATGATGCGACAAGTTGTCAAAAAGCTTAACATGAAGCAAATGTTATGTTTGGTTAGATAAATCTTTATTCCGATTATGGGTAAAACTGGTTTTTCACCCCCACTCTTTGAAGTAATTTGTAAAAGGTTTGAAACTTTTCATTTTTCTACTTAATGAATAGCCTATATAGAATAAAAAATGTAAAGAGTTTATCACTTTATTGTATACATCACTGGTTAAGCTTCATTTGGAGTGTTGTATTTAGTCTTGAGCTCCTAACCTTAAGAAGAACATTGAATTGTAGGGAAGGATTCTAAGTAGTTATTAGAATGATACTGGGATAGTGAGGTTGTAACACAAGGAAAAGCTAAAATCTCTGACATTTTTTTTTCTGTTAAAAAACAAACAAAAACTAATTGAGGTTTTTAAGACTATTAAGATAATATCATCATTTCATCATTTTTTTTCGTACTTAGTTATAAGAATGGTAGGACAAGGAGGCAAAATATATATTCTGGCAGGGTAGGAGTCTTCAACAGTTTTAGTTTTCTAACAAACCTATGGAATGTGTTTCCTCCAGATGTGGTGAATGGAGTAAATTTATGAAAGTTTAATGGAAAGCTTGCTAAGTATCTTAATGACTAGCTGGTTGGTGTTTGTAGTGGTAGGAACAGCCTCAATGGACCAATAGACCCTTTATTATCTTTAGACTTCTAATAAATATAGCATTTAAAGGTGATTATACAGATCAATAATTTGGACTCACTTGGAATTTACTGTATAAAGTTTTTGTTGTATTTAGAAAGAATGTTGAATGATTGAAAAGGGTTTGGAATAAAGGCTACTACAGTGAATCTAGAGATGGAATGGTTATCTTATGGGAATAGGTTGATATACATTTTATTGATAAAAAGAAGAGTAACAGGTAATCTTATTGACGTTCACAAGATTATCTGGTAGATTGACAAAACAAAGTCTCCTGATTTCTTTTGAAGGTAATAGGATGAGAGTTTAGAAATTTAAAGTTTGAAAATGACAGGCTAGAATTCTGTCAACAGTTTTATTTCCAACAGTTTAATTTTTCCTTTTTCTTGAGGATGGGTGTACAAGGACAACCTTGAATGACCCGCCAATTCCTTGTTGCCATATTTTATGATGCGAGAAGATGTGTAGAACATATCAGGAAGGTCAATTCTACAGTATTGCTACAGATTGATTTCTAGAACACTGGATGTTTCAGAACACTGAGAGAGAGAGAGAGTTGAAACATCAGATGGTAACAAGAGTTAAGTTTATAAGCAATCTTTACCCAGGAGGATGTAGAGTGTGAAGTTGCAAGCACTTGTATTGTTATTCTTAAAGAGTCAGAAGAAAAATATCTGATGTCTGAACAGTTAGGCTATTCAGATAAACAAATATGATAATATTTTGTCAACTCCCAAAATATTATGGGTTGAAATAAATGAATAGCAGTAGTTAAAACTGTTTTGCAGACTATAGGTGACACAGCCATCATTTGTTTTTGTTCAAAGTCTATTCAAGTTTCATGTTAGGATTACATATGTAAAGTAAGTTGTTTTTGTTGTCTTCTTTAGACTTCTTCAGAAACCCAAGAGTGAGATGACTCCAGAAGAATTAGCAAAGAGAGAAGATGAGGAGTTCAACACTGGCCCAATGTCAGTTTTAACCCAGTCTGTGAAAAATAATACTCAAGTTTTAATAAACTGTAGAAACAACAAAAAGCTTCTGGGACGAGTCAAGGCTTTTGATAGGTAAGTGGTATCTTTTGAAATAGAAGCCAGGCATTTACTTTTGTGGTTGAAACTTAAGAGTTACGTAGTTGAATAAATTACAGAAAGTAAATAGCCATTTGAAACTGGTACAGAGAATTTGAACTAATATATACACTTGTTTTCTTTGAGTGAGAAATACATAACATGTATAGGTTTGTAGTTTTATTGCTACTGCTGGAAACACTTCCAGATTGAATAAATCAGAAAAGTTACATTTTTTCCTTTGTTTGTAACAATCGATATTAAAGGTGGAGTCTTTCATGGGTTCTGATGATTCTTCTCCTGTAGGCTCCGAGGTTGAGCTTGCTGGGGATCAGGGGCAGACTGGTGAGAATTTGGACTCAATTTTCTCCAAATGAGTTCCTTCTTCAATCCTTGCAACCATATTCTCATTAATGGTTAACAGTAAATCTAAAATGGCATCCCCCACTGATTGGTATAGAAAACCATACTGAATTAACTTGAGAAGTCTTTCCATCATTGTTTATACTCCATACAATCAACATGTCTCAAATGAAAGCCATCTATAGTTATTGCATCAGTATCTTTATTAGTAACAACCATGATATCATTATACAATTTCACACTGACCTCATCTGTCTGATTAGGCCCCATATAGATTCAACCTCTTGATTACAGTATTTTATTTCTCTAATTTTAACAGCTGAAGTTCATTGCTTATATAAAATCACCCATATTTTTGATAAGCCTATCACTCTTAAATAATTCATAATCTGGATCTTCAAAATAAATCTTATTAACAGTGTTCTCTAAATGTAAACAAACTGCAGAAATGTTTGTTACATCACCATAACTGTTGTCATTCTTGAAAGTTGTGGTATTGAATAAGTTCCTTTCTGTGTTAAGAAATGCATAAACAAACATGGAAAGGAACTTAAGAGAGAGTATTTGTATAATTATAAACATATGTGGGTGTATAATTAGAGACGATGGACCAATCAACATGTCCTATTGGAATATTTATTTAACTTAAGTAATTCCTTATATATATGATTTACTTTCCACCTCTTGTTTTAAAAATGGACTCACCCAGTAATGGTTGTAGCTGAATATATGTTAAGCTAGCACTGTAGAGACTAGCCCTGATGATGGTAACTGTGTTACCAAAGATTTTACCTTTTCTTGTGCGAAGAAAAAAGTTGGGTTTTGTGTTTTTTACTCTTAATATCTCTAACTATATTGAAGTTTACTATTCTTTATTTTCTAAATGAATACTTTCAATCTACACACACACACAATAATTGTATATTTACATAGCGTTAAGATATTTTACCGTTTATAACCAATCTACCACAAAAATCCCGTATTAAGTAATACTTACTAGCACCACAGCTATGATGTGCAACATGACTAGTTGCTAATTAAAATAATTTACTAATGTACTACATCTTTGGCAGTTATCAATAATAGAAACAATAATTTCAACTCTTAAGATACATTCTCTTTATTTAGCTAATGCATGTGATAAATCTTTATTTTAATATGATATTTAATAACTTTAGTATCTTATAACCTAGTAGTACTACCTTATGTCATAACTCTAGGCTTAGCTGTACCTGCAGCAATAAATCTTGATTTCCAATTCTAACTAGTTAAGTAAAGTAACTATTAAATCATGCTTATAGAATTGGAAGCAGTTATTCTGATATGCATGATGAAATAAACTATATTTAAAATCTCCACTTTAAGATGTGGGGTTTGTTATAAGAGTGACATCAATCCCATAACATGATGTGGGGTTTGTTATAAGAGTGACATTCAATCCCATAACATAATGTGGGGTTTGTTATAAGAGTGACATTCAATCCCATAACGTGATGTGGGGTTTGTTATAAGAGTGACAGTCAATCCCATAGCATGGGTTGTAGAGTGCTGCTGACTAGCTGCCTTCTTTTTTATCACTAGTTCAAAATTAGGAATAGTGACAAATATACAATTTGGTACATTTACAATTGTTGTACAATATACTAAAAACCACCTCAAAAGTAAAGTTTGAAACATTAAGTTCTTTTTCAGATATGTGGTTATTACAGCAGTTAGTAATTTCTAAGGTTAATAAAACCAACAGAAAGAAATATGTCAATTAAACTTGTTATTTACTTTATCAGGCACTGTAACATGGTTTTAGAGAATGTGAAGGAAATGTGGACTGAAATGCCAAAAACTGGAAAAGGAAAGAAGAAGGCAAAGCCTGTAAATAAAGACAGATATATTTCTAAGATGTTTCTCAGAGGTGACTCTGTCATTTTGGTTCTGAGAAATCCACTAGCTGGTCAGAAACCATGATTTGTAGAAAAAAAAAGATGTATCATGTTATCCCTTTATAAGACCTTTTAGGGTTTCAGGTTGTTTTTTCTGTATGTTCGTGTCTGTTTTTAATAAAATGAAGAAGGTTTTTTTGTCTTTCTAATAAATTAATTAGTAAATGTAATTACCATGTGCATTTATTATCTAAATACTTAACCCTCTACAGGATAGCTGACAAAGCAAACATGATACAATGCTTATTCAGCTTTAAACATCTAAATAAAAACAGGATAAAGCATGTTGTGTACTATTAATGTACTATCTTCTACCATACTTCACTATTAATGTTGTACGTTGACTATGACATCATTTTCCTGTTTGCAATAACAGCTGCTGTAGATTGTGGCAAACAATTCAGACTTGGATGCTTCAGTACAGATAACATAGCTCCAGCTTTATTTATTCCATAGCTTGTGGTCAAATGCTCATTTCAATCTTTTGGATTGGTTACTTCTACTCAAGAGCAGGTTTTTGAGCAGCTAAATGTCCACTGAGAACACTTATTGCTAGTGTTACACAACTATTTACAGCTACCTTGACTAGATCTGTTCTTGTCTGTCTCATAAAGAACATTCCCTGAGACACTTAGCATCACTTTTGGAGGGTTTTGGCTTTCAGCTTCAACCAGTTTTATTATCAACACTACACATTTCACATATATTCTTCTAAAATGTTACTGAGAACTCCTAAAAAAAAGTGGAGTCTTGCCACAGATTTTCACACACACAATTCTTTGCCAGCCAAAATTTTTATTTCTACACACTTTTCTTGAATTATCTCAGTCACATATACTCTTCTAAAATGTTACTGAGAACTCCTAAAAAAAAAGTGGAGTCTTGCCACAGTTTTTCACACACACAATTCTTTGCCAGCCAAAATTTTTATTTCTACACACTTTTCTTGAATTATCTCAGTCACATATACTCTTCTAAAATGTTACTGAGAACTCCTAAAAAAAAAGTGGAGTCTTGCCACAGTTTTTCACACACACAATTCTTTGCCAGCCAAAATTTTTATTTCTACACACTTTTCTTGAATTATCTCAGTCACATATACTCTTCTAAAATGTTACTGAGAACTCCTAAAAAAAAAGTGGAGTCTTGCCACAGTTTTTCACACACACAATTCTTTGCCAGCCAAAATTTTTATTTCTACACACTTTTCTTGAATTATCTCAGTCCTGGGAGCCATGTAACTGGAAACACATCAATATGGTTGTATTATAACTTCCTTTATTTTAGAGTATTTATAATTGTGTGGCACTTTCTATTATATGAGCTATCAACATGCAACTTACACTGTTGATGCTCATTTTTACACAGCAAAGGAGTGACATTCCAGCAGTATTTGTCTTTTATACCCTTTTTCTCACTTTTCGTATTTATTTCCTATACTTTATAATATGAGTGATGAAACTTACTTAAATTTTGACCTGCAGGTTAAATGTATTAAGTATGCTTATAAATCATTTCTGGTAAGTCTTTGAAGATTCTTACATTAAAGCTGAATATTACCATACTTTATTGCACTTTATGTGATTGTTAGATTATCACATATAAGAAGTTTAAAGTTTGAATTTCTAATGAAAGGGTATATTTCTAAATTTTTGAGAAAGTTTCTGTATTATTAAAACACTTGCAAGAAAGTAAAAAAAAAGAAATGCCATGGACTAAAAGAAGTGGATATAAGTGAAGTACCATAAAAGCTCAATTTCTCCTATAAACACAATAATGGTGTTACATATGCTGAAGAGAACATGGAATACCTTCGTAAAAGTTGATTTTATTATAGCAGAGGTATTAGTTTTTGTCAGACAATTAACATCACCACAATATACTGAAAAAATGTCAGGATATGGTAATTTCTCACAAATATATCACTTGAATAACTTGATATATGAGGTTTATCTGTATACATAAAAGAGGAAGTTTGTTTATCTGTTTATTTTGTTTGCTATAGGAAACCAAATGGTTGAACTTGCAAATGTTAAAATAACTTCGTAATAACCAGTTTTTTACAAAAAATTTAATGGTGCTATTTATTTTGTATTTGGTGTAGTATTTAATGACAAAATTGACAATTAATGATTATTGCACCTTTTTTTTGTAATAAACATACAACAATATATGCACAATAGAAATTAAGTGATGAGATGAAAATGTGTTATAAAGGTGCGTAGAAAGAACAACAATAAAATGGACCTACAATATTATTGACTATTTGCAAATAGTAACTATGGAGACGAGGTAATAAAATAAAAATCAAGTGAGAACAACAAAAAATTTTATAAATGAAAACCTCTTGCTGAGCATTGGCTATTATATTATTTTCCT